ATTTGATAATTTTTATTTCTAATATCATATTATAGTAATTATAATAATATAAGTTATTAAAATTGAGTTTTTCTTTTAAAATCTTTGATATTACTAGTTAATTTTTTGTTTTTTTTCTTCTTTTATTTTAATAATTTTTGAAATTTGTAATTTTTTTGTGTTTTTATTTTTTTTTTTTTTCATTTTTAATTTAATATCACAGAATTAATATTTAATTTAAAATTAATTTGAAAATTTTTATTTTAAATATTACAAATATTTTCATATCCTGTAGTTTTTAAAGAGTATATTTCAGTTGTTTGTATAACAAAGAAAAAAATTTGCAATAAATTATGATTTTCTAAAATTATATAATTTAAAATTTTTTTTTGATAAACAAATTTAATTAAATCAAAATTTTATATTTATTAAAAAATATTGAAATTGAAAAAAATATATAAATTTAAAAGATTCTTAAATTTTCGAGAATTTGTGCAAGTTTCTAAATATCAAAAACCAAAAAATAAAGATTATTTTTATTTAAAATTTATAATATCAATAATATACAAATTTAAAAATAAGTTTTATATTTAAAAATATTCTTTCATAGAAAAGTTTACTTTTATTTTTAATTTACATTTTATATTATAAATTAAATGGAATAAAATCAAAATTCTAAATGCATTTTTAACATGGAATGAAAATAATTGAATTGAATTGGATTTAGTTTTTTTTTCATAATTATAATTAAAAAAATTCCAATTATTTAAAATATAATGTAGAGTTAATTTTCATTTAATAATATTAATTCAATAATAATGTAGAAAAATCGTATAGATTTAAATAAATTAAAATTTATATATTAAAAATTAGTAGAGATGTTAAGAATATTAATTCGATTGTAGCTTTAAATGCTACAATTACATTTTATGTATTTTTAGTGATTAATTAAATTTATACAGATAATATTTTAGGATAGTGTTGCAAATATAATATTTTAGTTTTACTCAAGAAGATTCTTAAAACTCAACGTACATAATATTGTGTTAGAACATTGAAAATAAGTTAATTACGGCTCTGTCAGCATTGATAGAGCTAATATACAATTTAAAAATATTTATAGTAAAATATCTTAGTATTATAATATTAAATTTTAATTTTCATAATGTAAATTAGGTGCACAAACAAATAAAAAATATCAAAAAATTAGAATTTGTCATAAAAATTAATTTGATTAAATTGTTATTTGAAAAAGAAAATAAAAATATTTGAAAAAAAAAAATTTAGAATTGAATTTGCATTTAGAATTAGATATAAGCATTTTTAATAATTAATATTTTACAATCAATTAACATTTTAATATAAACAATTATAATTAAACAATAAAATATAGTAAATTAAAAAAAAAATTGGACAAATATAATATACTATGTATATGTTTTCAATTTTTTGTTAAATTCTAGAGTATACTATTTTAGAATAGATAGATTTCAGTTTTAGAAAAAAAAATTATAAATTTTCTATTATATAGATTCTCTTAAAGATTGTTGTTATTTCCTTTTCTTTTTGCTATTAGTTTTTGTTAAGTAAGTAATATATATATAAGTACTATGTTTACATATTGAATTGAATATTGATTAAATTTATTAAAGATATTAAAAATAAAATAATTTAATAAAATGGTTTTATCTCATATAAGACCGAAAAAATAGATTTTATATAATATATTAATAATATTAATTATGTGAAATTATCATTAAATACGAGTATTGCATTTAATAATTTTGTGCAAAATATACGAGATTCATAATATTGAGATTCAATTTAATAATATTGCAACACAAAAATGTGACCTATACTGGATGTAAAATTTTTTATATCATTAGATAGTAGAATTTATTAATATATAATAAATTACTTAAATATTATTCAATTAATTTTATAAATACAAAATTTAAGAATTTTTGTTTTATATTGTACTGAAATTTTTTTATGTTAAATAAATGTAGGTACTGTAAAGGCTGACTTTTAAAGGATTTTTAAGACAACTTTAAATTACTTTTAAATTTGAGGTTTTTATTAATGAATTGTAGAATAGATTAATGCAAAAAAAAAAAATATATATAGGAATTTAGGTAATGCCATAAAAATCTATTAAAGTTTGAAAAATTTGTTGTTACAGTTTTGAAATTTCGAATGCATTTTTGCATTATTACATGTTTAGTGTAAAATTGTTAAAAGGTATTTCAAAGAGTATCATTAATCCTAGCGTTTTTCTGCTTCTTTCTGCAAATTAAAAACATTTTTCTATACACTTAAATTTACTTATACTTGAAGTGCATATTCAATACACATTTTAAAACTGTACAATATATTTTAAGAAAATATTAAAATTAAAAGTAGAAAATGACACTTTCTTAAAAACTTTCTAGTTTTTACAGCCTGCCTACATATTAAAAATGTCTTATAAAATTTTAAGCATAGTACCCAATGATTAAGTAATTGAATTGAATAGTCATTAAAAATGACATAAGAAAAATTGAATTTACATAAGAATTATTGCATTTTAATTTCACAAAATATAATATTCAAATTAATAAAATAATTAAAAATAATTAATATTTAATAATACATTTTTAAAAATTAATTTCTAATAAAATAAGTATTAAAAAATATTAATTTTTTTTATTTATCCCTTCTATATCCAAACTTTTATTTAAAAATAAATGTTTAATAAATAAAAATTTCGGTCTTTATCAGAACAATGTTTTAAATTCTATTTGTAAACATAGTATTTATAATAATAATATTGTTTATTTTTTAAATTTTCATTTATAAAGTTTTCTCAGGTTTTATAATAATTTTTTTTACATTTAAAAAAAAAGCATAATTATCATATTATCTTATAAATGTTAATTACATTTCATATTTTAAATTTTAGTTTTTTTTTCTTTGAATGAAAAAAAAATACTATAATTATTATAAATATTTTATTATCATAATATTATTATTATAATTTATATTATATAGCAATAGTTTAATTAATTATGCCAAAATATACTAAAATATACTAAAAATATCAGGTTAGATTTGAGTAATAATAATAATTAATTAATTTTATATTACAGTTTTTTTTTTTTTTACTATTTTTCGTATTTAATTCTAGATTATAATTTTAAAAAGCTATTTATTTTAGGAAATTAGAATTGTATTTGTTTATTTTTATAGATATATATGTATGTTATATATATATAAGTATATTCTGTCTTATTCAAGATTCTGTTATATTTTTCCTTTTTCTGTTTACAAATTATTTTATTTTCTTTTTTTTTTTTAAGAAATTTTTAAATTTTTTTCAATCAAAATTTTTATTTTTCTGAACATTCAGAAATTTTATCTGAAATAACATTTTATATTTCTTGATGTTTTTTATATTTTATTTTATATTTTCTCTTTTCTTTTGTTTTACTTCAATATGCTCTTTTTTTTATAAACGATTTTTTCTTGATTTTACAAAATATTAATTATATAAATTTAATTACATTTGAAGTTTAATCAAAAATAATTATCAATAGAATTTTTAAATTTTATGTTTTAAAAATTTTAAATGTATTAAAATGTATAATTTGTGTGTAGCAAATTAAATATTTTATTTAAATTTTCTTTTGTTTTTAAAATACTTATATAATGTGATTATTTTTTTTTTTTTAATAATTTAAGAATATATAAATTTTAATTTAAAATATCTTAAAATTACATTCGATTATAATATTCATATCATCAATAATATTTTTTGTAACTTGGCATCATTTATTACATTTATTTTATTAATGTTATATTATAGTGTTTATATATAAGTATTAATTATTAAAACTACAAAAATATTAAAACATAAATATTAAAAATATCTATTGATAAAGAAATTTTTTTTTTGTTTTTAATTATGTTATTTAAGTTTTTTTTTTTAAATATTGTGTATTTATAATTTTTAGTACCGCCTCGTATTTTATAAGTTATTTTTTTTTTTTATTATACATTGAAGCAATTAAATTAAATTATAATAATTTGATTTTAATAAATAAAATTATTACAATGAGCATAAAAATTATTTGAAACAAAAAAAATTCTTTTAATAACTAAAGCACAATTAATTAAATTTTAAATGAAATCTCAATAAAAGAAAAATTAAACTAAACTGTTGAAAAGCAACAAAATTTGAAAAGGACATTTTATTTAAAAAAAAAAAAATAAATACAATAAATTTAGAATTATTTAAAATTTTTATGTTGCAAATTATTATTAATAAGATAAAATAATTTGTTCAAATGATTTTCATCACTGGGTTCTTACTTTACAAGAAAATAATTAAAAATTAGAATTTTAATTGAAAATTTTCTTTTAAAAATAAAATTGTTTTGAAAATAATTACGAAAAATTCGAAATATTAAATTAAATTTTAAAAATCTAATATAAAATATGATTTTATAATCATAATATAATTTAGTTATTATTTTATAATCATAATATAATTTTTTAATGATTCAATTTTAAAAATTTTAATATACCTTTGGTAGAATCTAATTTTATATTACTTAATATAAACTTATTTTAATATTAACATAAGAAATCAAGCATTAATAATAAATTTGAAGAAAACTTAAAAATCAAAACTATATACAATTAAATAATAGTATATATTCAAAATTAATTTTGTTTTTTTTTTCTTACAAAATATAAAATTACATACAAAATAACTTTCTTTAATATGCTTACAGCAATTCAATTATTTGCAATTAATAATTGCAATATAAAATTCAACCTCAAAATCACTTTTCTTTTCATTATTATTATTTTTCATTTTTAAAATAATTTTTTTTAGTACCATTCTTAAGTAAAATATTATTTTTTATTTTGTATATAAATAAAAAATTAATATAATTAAATATTTTGAAAATATTTGTCTTGAACTTGAAATTATTTTTGTGTATTTAAAAAATTTAAAATTTAAGCATTTATTAATATTAATAATTTACTTTTTGCTATATAAGCAAAATTATTCACTTTGTGTGATATTCAATTGTCTTTTAATAAATTAGAAATTATTTTGTTAGTCAAATTATAATAATTCATTATTGTTACTATTTAAAAAAAAAAGAAATTAAAAAAATCAAATTACAAATTAAATTTTGGAAAATTTTTGCAAATTTACGATATTAAATGTAAAATTATTGACATGTATTAAAATGATAAAAAAATAAGCTTTGCATTATTTGTATATATATGTACAATAATTAATTATAATAAAATTATTTGTATATATATGTACAATAATTAATTAATTAAATATTTTTAATATTTATATATCATTATTATTATTATAATTATTATAGAGCCACAGCACCAAAATTTGCTTTTAAGTTATTTCACCGGAAGAAATACGATATCGGTCTTGCTTTACCATCTCGACTAATTTGTGCTTTAACACCTAAAATAAAAAAAAAAAATTATTTTATTTAATCATTTTATAAACAAAAAAATTATTAAAAAGAAACCTAAAATTTTATTTTCTAACATACCAGTCGTATCAGAATGATGACTAACATTTAATGCTTCTAATTCTCTAAATAAACCAGCTAAACTTGATGTACCATCATATATATATTTTGATTCAATACGTACTGTTGGTGCTTTAGATTTTTGTGTTTGTGTATGCCATACTAATATTTCTGTACAATTAGCTGCTTTCGGTTCAATATCTTCAATTTTTAATGATATTGAACGTAAAAATGCATCTTCTTCATAACCAGCTCTATATGGCATTGTTGCATTTGGATGTTGTGATAAATATTGTAAATTAACAGCAAAACCAGCCATATCAACTGGCCATTTACGTTTTGCTGGCCATGAATCAAAAAATCCAATTATTTTACCCTTTAAAAAAAAAAATAAATTAAAAAAATTAATTTAGTAATTGTAATTAGAAAACATATATAATTTATATATTTACATCTTTAACTACTGGTGCACTAACAGCATATAAACCAATTAAACCAACTGGAAACATTGAAACTTTTTTTGTATCACGTATTTCCGAAAATAATTTTAAATCGAATGTATTATCATCATCTCCAAAATATAAAACACCATGTTTATGATTACCATTACGTATCCAATTTAATGCAGCTCTTCTATTGGCAACACCACGTGGATTTGGTGACTTGGCACGGTATATATCCGGCATTGGACTAGAAATATGAGTATAAGGAACGCCTACAAAAACAAAATTAAATTTTAAATTTATAAATTTTTTTTTCGAATATAGTTTACATTTCTTTCTTTATTACTTACCAAAAGTATTAAGTAAAAAATCTAAATTACTATTACATGCATCAAAATCATCGGCAACAATCCAATGTATTCTTGGTACATGCATTAACGTTTGCCCTAAACGGGTTAATTCAGGTATCTGTTCGCGTCTAGGATATGTTGGTGTTACAAAATATATAATTGGAAGATGATTATATTCAATACGTGGACGATTTTGTATATATTGTCGATTATCTTCAAAATTTTCATTACATATATCCATTGAATCATTTACGATACCGGTTTCCGGTACAACTTTAACTACATTTCCTATATAAATTAGAATTAAATAGAAAATTACAAAAAATATATAATTAATAAATTTGTCAAAAATATTGATTTATTTATTTTAACTTCTTTTTTAAATTATAAATTTAATAAATAATTAAGAATATAAAAATATATTTATAGAAATGAAAAAATACCAATTTGTGCATTATTTTAAATATAAATCTAAAAATAAAAAAAACATTTTGGTGCACTTTATGTAAATGTTTTTCAAACCAGTGTAAAATTTATAAATATTTATGGAAATCATTGTTAGGTTCTGAATATATAGTGGTGCTAAAAATGTATAAAAATGTTAATTTTTCATATTATGTATTTATAAAAATAGTATATTTGTGCTATATATATTATAATTTAAAAATTAAAATGTTTGAAATTTGAAATGAAAATTAATAATATTAAAAAATAATTAATTAAAATTAAAAATTTAATAAAAATATTCTTATATAAGCCCACACAGCATAATTATTGTAAAACAAAATTTCATAAAATATTTTTAATTTTTGAGGAAAATTATTTGAGTAGACACTAGTCTACTCGTCATTTTCAAAGCTTTATATTTCATTTCAAACCATCTCTCCTACGAAATACTAAGGCAAAGGGAATTTGCAATGAAATATAAAGCTTTCAACACTTTGGTAGTGATTTAGAGCTTAGGCAGATATGCAATATTTATTTTTTTCATTTTTTAATTGTATATTCCATAGGTTTATTTATATTCAGGCGCGCAATCAAACAGTACGCAATTTTGTAAACTGATTGAATTGACGCAATAATTTCTTAGATGTGCGCGCAACGATTATAAAATTAAGCAGTATAATTGTAAAACTAAAAATCGCATACCTGCCTGAGCTCAATGTTTAATATTCACGTATTTCATACTACTTTAAATGTTGTGTTGTACAAAATCCTCTTTGTATATACCGCATTTTATAAGATTTACAACTAAAATCTCTCATCCCATAAAAAATTATTGACCTAATGATAAATTGAAAAAATTTTTATGTCCTAGAATTTTATGATTTATATTAACACTTTTCCCCTGTTATTTTTTTATTTTTTTAATGACCATAAATTTTTATACAATTAATTCTTGATTTAGGTGTAAAAAAACAAATATGACATACAAAATACTTATATATATATATAAATTCAAGGAGGTTTATATTTTTTATTATATTCGTAAATTTTTGTCACTTAGTTAATTTTTAATTAATAAAAAAAAAATTAGAAATCAAGGCAACTTATTCTTAATATAATAAATGAATAATTTTTTTGATAACCATAAAATTTATACATATATACCCATGCTGTTATACACATATATGGTACATATATAATGTTTATCGTTATAGTTTACAATTATCAAACTAAACTAATGAGTTATTTGCGTGATTCAATAAAATTTCTTTATATTTTTGTTTTTTTTTTTTTTCATCCTGTTGCGAAAATAATTAATTTTTTTCTCTTCAATTTAATTTGTTTGTTTCTAGCTACTTATAGTTTACTTAATCTACATGTATATATTGTAAAATGTAAGTAATTTTTAAGGTATAGAACATATCATAAGTCAAAAATATAGATTTAAACATATATATGTACATTGTTCTAAAAAATATTTTATTATAAAAATAATTTTGTAACTTTCTTTTAACGTTTAATGTACACAATTTGGTATAAGAATATGTACCAGAGGAAACAATAAGGTAGTTAAATAAAAATTATAAAAATAATTATGAGAATAGAATGTTCAAATCCTATTAGCAAAAGAAAAGATCTTATAGAGTGTTTAAGACTTATTAGCATAAAAATTTAGTTAGACGACTACAAACGCGGCAATGCTATTATCTTATTATATAGTTTTATAACCCTTTACAAAAACATAAAAATATCATCTGGATTTCAAAGAGCGACTCTATTTAACAGTATAGTTGAATAATTTTGTACCTTAGTTTCCAAGATATCGAAACTTGTATAAGCTCTTAAAATGTCCAAGTGTTTAATAGTATATTTTGAATACTTGCCGCTTACACCCTTTTGAATATTGTCTTCATTAATAATGATTCGCAGCGTTTTCAAGTTCTTTCTTTATCCGTATTAATAATTCACATACTATTCAAAGTAACAAGTACCTTTTTAATGCTACAGATAATTTTAGACGATCAGAAGGCAATTATTATATTTTTTACTAGGCATTCAATGCATACACGCTTATAAATACATATATTATTTTGGGGAAATTGAAAAATATTCTTTAAAACTGAGTAAATTCGATACCTCATTATTGTAAATTCTAAACAAAAATTTATTATAAGCTCACCATACGTCCGTACGTATTTTAAACCGAAAACAATATTTATAATACACTATTAATTTTATTTATTAAAAAAAAATAAAATAAATAAAAATTTTAAATGAACAATGAATAATTAATGTGGCTTAAAGGTGACAAGTACCTATGATTATATTCGTAAATGATTTGAAGGATCTTATGTTGAAAATGAAAAATAACAAAAAACGAAAATAATAAAACAAAATATAAAATAAATAAATTCTTCAGGAAGTTTTCAATCTTTTCCTTTGCTATATTCTATATACCCTTATAAACGACAATCAGAAAATGTTGAAGGTATTTTAGGTATTTTTATTGTTTAGGTCTTCAATTTCAAAAAGAAAATATTTTATTTTATTTTTTTTTTTTTGTTGTTTTTTGAAGAAAAATTACATTATTTATATTTTAAATAATTAAAGTAAATTTAATATACCCACACGGTATATAATGTGTATGTGTATATATATAGGGTAGTTATAAGCATATAATGTGAAATTTTATTTTTTTTTCATTATTTCTTGTTTTCTAATTTACAGAAAAACGGATGTAACACAATAATTTTTAGCAACTTTAATAAATTTATGACACTTCATGTTAATAATATTGTACACAATTAATTTATTATGTAACTTAAAAAGAATTTTATATTAAATTTATTTAAAATTTACTGGCTCTACTATGTAAATATAAGTCAATTTTTTTCTTACAGTATATAAGCTTTAATTGAGAATAGGTTATATGTAATAAAGTTTCATGTCAATCTCATATACATAATTATTTAATTTTAAAAAATTTGAAGACTCATATTATTGTTATAGAAATATGTATATATTTAAATATAGTGTTAATATAACTAAATATACAAAGCAAAGCCCTATTACAACCGTATGTACACTAAATTTGTAATATTTCCATATGTGTATTAAAATTTCAAGTTGATGCCCCTAAATATATGCAATTTTTAATTTACTTTTTATTTTTTAAATTTTTAACAAGTATTTATTATTTCAAGTATTTTTTTCTCAAATTTCCTTTAAATAATCTTGTATATTTTGCTGAATATAATAATTATGATGATTATTGAAAAAACTTGATAGTTCTTTATATGTTTAATAGCAAATTGTAACTGTTTACATAGCTTCTTTTGTTCATGAAAACGCATTACACTTTTTAAAATACATATTTAAAAGTTTCAGTTCTTGCAAATTATTATTGAATATTTCATGATTTTCCGTGAAAATTAATGCTCATTTCGTATCATACATAAACTATTTTGAATTCCTGCACCTTATCGCGATGTGAAACTACAGCAAAAATCACTAAATTAAAATTTTATTTCTTTGTTAAACGAGTATCTCATCATTTTAATCACCTATGTATATATATGCCATGCTAGCATTCTTTGAATAGAAACATTTTGTGCATGAAAATTTCAAATTCATATTGGATGATAATTATATTGGATATGAATATTACTTAAAATAGAATAAATATAAAATTTGTAACCAATAAATAATAATATTATAATAGAATTCTTGCTATGTTTCTCTAACATAATAATTTTCTTGTATTTATTTTAAAAACATAAAACTTTATTACCATTTTCATATTATAATCGTAGTTATATACATATATGTATATATGGAGAAATAAATTATATATACATATAAGAAATTCAATTATTGAAAAAAGAAAATTGTTATTAAAATATTAAAATATTCTTACATTTTCTAAGTATATTTTGCTGATCCCATAAAATACAACCTATTATTGATTTTTGAAAATATTTTTTTTATTTTATTATTTAATTTAATTAAATTATTATATTTCATTTCTTATAATTATTATTATCGAACATAAAAACTAAAATAAAATTTTATAAAAATGAATAAAACTTAAATTTTGCTAAATTTCTATGTTTTCTAAAACTTTTATAATTTGATTTGTCTATAAATATATATAGAGAAAAATAAAATATTATTACAATTAGTTATTAAAGAAATTATATATAAAAATATGTTGAATAAAAATTATTTTAACAAATTCAAAAATAGTAAAAGAAGAAGCTAAGAAAATAATTGAAATTTTCAATTACTTTTCATATTTAAAAAATCAAGGGAAAAAAAAACATGAGTTTCTATATAATTAGTTATTAAAAATGAGATTAAATTGCATTAGAATAAAATTTATTAAGGCTTACAATGAAATTATGTAAGATTTATGGGAAATTTATGTATGTATATATGAAATATGCCACAAGGAATGAATTAAGAACATTTTTTCGATTGCATAAAACAAAAATTATGCAAATATGCACATAAATTTTATATAAAATATTTCAATATAAATTTTCTAATAAAATTATTAAAGAATATTCAATAATGATTTTAAAAAAACAATAATTGTATGAGTCTGAAATATTAGAACAGATGCCACTTGGTAATAAATATAAATTGAGCTCACACCTAACCGTAATTCAATCTGGCCTAGATCTACAATTTATGCTGTATGTACCAGTATGAAACAATTTCCTACTAATCGAAAGTGTGCTAATTAATTTGTAATTCTTTAATAAATTTTTAATTTAAAACTCCTATTTAATTATGTTAATTTATGTTTAATATGTTAAATTAACATGTTTTCTCTAGTT